ATAAATAAATGCAAGCAGAATCAGTGGAAGCAAACATGCCTACACCAGCTAGTCATTTTTTATTATAAAGATAAGAGCATAGTCATCTATTGAGAATTTGCATCAAGCTTCTGCTCACCGAAATCAACTTATTTTGGAAAACCAATTTCTATATGGAGGTCCTATTATGGTGACATGAAAGCATTATCAACATGGAAAAAAAAAAAAAGTAAAGCTTCAGGTTAGGTCAGATTATCCATAGAGTATTCGGTGTATAATTCTAGAGCCTTGGAGAATCAACTCATCTGAGTTAGGAGTGTATATACTAATATGATGTAGCCACCTACGACCAACCTGGCAATGTTACCACTGCTGCAGGATCCTGAAGATCGACATGCTGCCTCTGGAACAAAAGTGTATATGTGATGATGATTAACTCATAGAGGTTGATTCTAGCAAAGGAAAATAGAGATCTGTGGGTTGCCATTCAAATGCAAGAATGTGCAAAAGAAACTTTTAGATAGGCCCGCCACCACCCAGAGGAAGTCTGTCAAGGTGCCCGCCACCACCCACGAGGCTAGGTTGGCTCCGCCTCGGAGGCCGCCCGTCGCGTTCCCTACGAACGTTCTCAGGTTCCCCAGCCTTCTTCGCCAGCTCGCCATCTCCTCTTCCACATATCTCAAGAATGTGCAAAAGAAACTTTTAGATAGGCATGATATCTGAAGTTAAACCCAAAATATTTTTGAAATAAACAATTTATGATGAACTAAGCCTGATAATTAATTTGTAAGAAGCAGACTTTCTCTTCGTAGCAAGAATATTTTGTTCTTGAAATTTGGAACCATAGGGATTAGAAATACTTGAAGTGCAGCTCCTGTAACATGCGGACGAAGATATAATTTAAATATGTAGTCAAAGAATTCCAAAAGTAGAATCTTTGACATATTAGTGGTACCATTCAACAGGAACCGGAAAGCAAAGGAGACACAGCTGACAAATCTAGTGGGTTAACTAATATTGTGACATATGAAATGTGTGACCAAATCACTCTCAAATGAGAGAAAAATTCAACGGATGAGAAATCATTTGCGCTTCGTGAACCGAGGTCACGATAATTGAGGACAGATAGGTCCAATGGATTGGATTCCCTTGTATCGTCTGGGGACTACGGCGTAGTGGCCTAGTACGTCCGTAGTCGATGAATCGAGTGAATTATTACAGAGATAATAATTCATTGAGTTAGAAGGAGTTCTGACAGGTATGACTCACGGCCAGCTCGATATTGGGTCTAGAGGGTCACACACATATGGTAGGCATTGCAATGAGTAGAGGTTCGGATATGAGATATCTGACAGAGCCCTTGTCTTATTGGATATCTAATAAGCCCCTGAATTATTGGATCCCATGGACGAGATCCAATAAGAGCCCATGAGAGATTATTGGATAGAGATCTACTAATCTAAAAGGCTTGGGTTATTGGATGCAGATTTAATACCCACTAGGTGAGGATCCATTAGGGTTTAACAGGAGACCTCTATAAATAAGAGAGATTCAGAGCCTCAAAGGCTAGAGCCTTTGCTTGCCTCTCCTATTCTCCTTCCCCTCTCCACCTTAGAACAGGCCTGGAGTTTTGAGGAGCGTCATCGCAGCCCTGCTGTGTGAATCACCGCTAGAGAGGAGGACGCTTGACCTCCTTCACCCTCTCCTAAGGATCTGCAAGGAAACAGGGATATATGATCTCCCTAGGTAACGTAATATATTCTATACGTAGTTTTTCCAGTTTCGCGGATTTTACGTATCAATTTTCGCACGGCGACGAACATCTCTTTGGGAATCGGGGATTTTGTTTTTCTTGTTCTTCCGCTGCGCATCTGATGTCGCCCCCAAGATTTCCCAACAAAATGTTGAGTTATAAATTTCTGTCAGTGATCTGAAATTTCTTGGAGGGGTTTCATACGAGGAATCAGAATTTGAACTGCTATTGGGTGAGGTTGACGATGAACTTATTGGAGCAGGATCTGTCACTTGATTCTGCGGAGTGTCTAGTTCTACTGGAATCTGCATTTGTGTTCCACCTTTATTGGTCTCCCAATTCCAATTTGCCCTTTCATCAAACATAATATTTTTGTTAATAATAACTTTGCCACTAATAGGGTTATATAATCGATATGCTTTCGATTATAAGGAATAACCAATTAAGATATATTTTTCAGATTTTTCATCAAGCTTATGATGATTTTGTGAATTCACCAAAGCATAAGCAACACAACCAAAAATTTTTAGATGTCTAACACTTGGTTTCATACCATACCAAGCCTCAAAAGGAGTTCGATTCATAACAACCTTTGTTGGTGAAATATTCAACAAATAAACTACTGTTGTAATTGCTTCTGCCCAAAATTGATTTGAAAGATATTTTCCTTTAAGCAAACTTCTTGCCATTTCAATGACAGTCCGATTCTTACCAGCTACACCATTTTGCTCCGGTGTATATGGTGTTGTCAATTCTCTGTGAATATCATTTTCTTCACAAAAAGAATTAAACTCATTAGATAAAAATTCACCACCTCTATTTGTCCGAAGTGTTTTTATATATCTACCACTTTGTCTTTCTACAAGTGCCTTGAATTTTCAAAAATTATCAAATGTTTCATATTTCAATTTCAAAAAATATACCCATCTCATGCGACTATAATCATCAGTAAACAATAAAAAATATTGACTACCACCAAATGATTTTTTATTTATAGGTCCACATAAGTTAGCATGAATTAATTCAAGACAATTAGATGTTCTCCATGCTTTTCCAATAGAAAATAATTTTTTACTTTGTTTGCCATAAATACATCCTTCACATACATCAAGTGTATTAATCTTGGGCAATACGAAAACCATTCATTTTTGACTTAACAACCTTAAACCTTTAATGTTAAGGTGTTCATATCTTAAATGTCATAAACTAGACTCATTCTTTTAAGTTACGGCAAGTGCATACCTCTCAATATTTGACACATCAAGTGAAAATATCTTGTTTTACATCATGCAAATATTTACTATAATCAAACCAGATTTTTTATCTTTAATAGTGCATGAACCATCATCAAATATTATTGAATATCCAGCATCTATCAATTGTCCAATACTCAATGATAAAATAGGAACAAAAAAAACATTATCAACAAATTATGTGATAAAATAGGAACAAAATATTGATTTTATGCCTGACATATGATTAGAACATCCATTATCTAAAAACTAAATATCATTTGAGATATCATGAACTTATGAATGAGTCATAAACAATTTACTATTTTCTTCATTTTCCTCCATATAGCTTGCTTGCTTTTCTCTTTTCTAGCAATCTACCTTCATTTAACCAAACTTTTTACAGTAGTGACATTTAATTTCACTCTTGTAATTTTTTTTATCATAATTTGATTGCCCTTATTCATCATGCCCATCAAAGTGTCCTCTTCCTCTTCCATTTCCTCTACCACGAAATTCTCCTCTGCCACGTCCTCTTCCTGCTGATTTTTTGTCTTCTTTTGAAGTAGAAGACTCCCCTTTAACCTGAAATGTTTTTTCTTCATTTTTTTCAAATGACCTGTTCAACCTTACTTCATGTGCTTGCAAGAAAACCATTAGTTCATCAAATGAATATGTAGATAAATCTTTTGACTCCTCAATTGCGGCAACAACATGATCAAATTTCGGAGTTAAACTTCTCAAAACTTTTGCAACAATTATATGATCAGAAAGATGTTCACCATAAGATTTCATTTGACTAACAATTTCAGTCACTCGAGAAAGAAAATCTTGTACCGATTCATTGCTTTTCATGAACAAAATTTCAAACTCATGACGGAGGGTTTGAAGTTTTATCGTAATCACCCTTGATGAGCCTTGAAATTCATTTTGAAGTATCAACCAAGCTTGCTTTGAGGTTGTCGCTGCTACAATTCTTGAGAAGATCGTCTCATGTACAGCTTGTTGAATGAAGAACAATGCATTTGAGTCCTTCTTTCTATTCTCCCTCAGCCTGATTTCGTCATCTGGATCCGCATATCCATTCTCTATCCTTTGAGTCCTTTCTATTCTTCCTCAGCCTGATTTCGTCATCTGGATCCACTTATCCATTCTCTATTAAGTCCCAAAGATCTTGAGACTTGAATAGAGTCTTTATCTTAATACTTCAAAATTCATAGCTTTTGCCCAAGAAGATGGGGATAAGGAGTTGAGACATGTAATTGTCATTAAAAGTCATAATGCCCAGTTCAGATTGAAACTAGGCTCTGATACCACAAATGTTGGGGATGAAGGAGCAAAAAAAAAACAGAATAATACGAGTAAAAAGAATCCTTTTGACTTAAGAAAACTGATGTAGTAGGAGGATTGACAAGAACACTTATAAGATACCAAATGCACACACTCTTTATATTCCTTACTTCATGAACTACGGTCCTATTTAATCATGTAACCATTAGATCATGATAACTATCTAGATAGATAACTATGAATCAAATCTCAATAAGAATTTCAATAAGAATTCGAAATTCTATTTAGTCAAGATTGCACTACCATTTAGGATTAGTGAGAAGCTTCCAATATAATATAGAATCAAAGATCATATGGTCTATGCTAATATTCACTTATGAGGAAGCCACACTAGATATATTGGAATAAGATTATAGATGACATGCTACATATACTTGAATCAATAAGACCTGTCTTGAATCACATGAGACTTGGCTATGTCAAGATGAAATGAAGGATAGTTTTGTTCATTTTCTGAGAACAGGTAAGAGATATAATAACCATGGAACTTTAATTTGATGGAAACCACATATCAAATTTAACAAAAAAGAAAAAAACAAAAGAATCAAGTGATCATTAAGTAATAAAACTTAAGTTTATCATCTCCACATATGTATCATATTTGATAGCAACAATTGGAAATTTTTTTTGTTGAGATTAGACCTTGAAATAATGATAATTATATCAGAGTTAAATACTGTGTTTAGAAACCTTTCGGAGTTCTCACATTATCCAACACAAATAAAAATTACATGCATGACAGAATTGTTAATAAGAAAATGGTACAGCAAAGGGAGTCACTTGAATGCAACAGTAGCCTGCAAAGGCCATCCTAAGGAACAGCTTAGAAGAAATGGAAGAACCCACAAAAACCAAGAGATAACATCCGATAGCTTCTTTTCATCAGATTTTTTTCTTTGCTGTTGTTTCCTTTAAAAACCTTTGTTCATCCTTAGAAAAGCCATTCTAGAAGAATTTCAGCAGGCAGCCTTGGAGAAATCTTTGCTGGATCTGTTGTACTTCATATGACTCATCACAAGTTGGCCAGCTGCAAGAGCTGAGAGGAGAGACAGCTCCCCAGCCAGAACTGCACCGGCCACGACAGTGGCGAGGCGTCTGGCATTTGCACCAGGAGACTCCAAGCTTGCACCCTTCACACCAAGTAGGTCCAAGCAGGCAGCCTGGGAAGCAAGTTGAGTCCCACCTCCAACTGTGCCAACCTGTATAAAAAAGAAAACAGTATGAACTTCTCGTTCACATGATACCAGCTAACCTCTGGATATACCCGTACATTTGAATTAGGTCATTTAACAATGATCACAGAAGAAAGATGAGAAACATGTCTGCAAGATGACGAGTGGTTGTTTGAAAAATGACAAGCAGGACCACACATCAGCTCTACAGCTCATCATGTAAATCAAATTAAGGAAATATGTGGAGTATTTGTTTGAGAACATGGTCTATTGAGTCGTCTTGTGGTCTTATTAATACAGAACCTATCTCCTCATTGCTATAATACATAAATTAAGAAAGAATGATTCCTACAAGCCTGTGGGATTCATATGGCCATCAAAATACCAGAATGGCCTATTAAAGACTTGTCTTAGCAAATTTATGTTTAAAGTTCCATTGTATACAAAGCTAACTGATTGGGGCTACATTGATCTCGCAAGTACCCAAATCTCTGGTAATCAATATGCCTGACAGCCACCTAATAGACAAAATTAAGATGTGAATAGAAGTTTAAGCCAATCTTAAACAACTTGACCAATTAATTTAGTCACTGTAAAGAAAAAGAAAAGGACTCAAAATAAAAGTTAAGAGAGAGAACATGGATCAAGACACAGATCAAAAGTCTATACCCACAACATAAAAAGTGATTATCATAATAGTTTAGCTATGAGAGAGTAAAATATGTAACATAAATCAAGGTAAGCAATTTCGTACCGTACCGGAGTTTCAACGTTCGTTCGGTACGGTACGAAACTGTATACCGAGCGGTATATCGTTCGGTGTATATATATATATATATATATATATATATATAAAGGCGACGTCGCCTTTTCCTTCTCCCACGCAGGGCCACGTGGCGACGTCGCATCGCCTCGTATATATATATATATATATATATATATATATATATATATATATATATATATATATCATGGTGTATGAATAAACAGAAGCGATGTTAAACAAGATAAATCTGCTTAATAAACCAATGAGATTGATATGTCAATATTACCTCAATGGATGGCATGGTCACAGAGATGTGAAGATCCTTTCCATCATTCACAGCTTCCATCATGGTGATACAGTGTGAACTCTCCACATTCTGAGCTGGATCTTGGCCAGTGGCTATGTAGATGGCAGACACAACGTTGCTAGCTTGAGCATTGAAGCCCCCAAGAGATCCAGCTATGGCTGAGCCAGCAAGGTTCTTGATCGTGTTGAGTTCCACTAATGCAGGTATATTGGTCTTCAAAACCTTCCTTACCACCTCCTCCTTGATGATTGCCTCACAGACCACCGATTTACCCCGTCCTTCAATCCAATTCACTGCAGCAGGCTTCTTGTCCGAGCAAAAATTACCTGATCAGTGCCAAGAGAAGCATTACAAAACACAAAGTTTAATATCTCCTACTAAGCAGACAAGCAAGTTCAATTGACACAGGTGAACTAGTCCTCTCTTAACCCAATTTTGCATCAACCATAATTGCTTGAAGTGAATGATACAAACATTGGTAGCTACATGGTTTGGCTTCTCTTAAATCACACCAACATATTTATAATCATGCAGAGTGTTCATGAATGTGCTGGTAATGGCTATTCATGTGACATTCATGGAAGTTACCAAGAAACGAAATGGGACCGACAGGGACCCAAGTCCATCATCGACCGGCTAGACTAGGCAGCATGTCATTTGTGTACATGTTACATGTACATTTTACTCTAATGGTTAGACATGCCACAACCATTCAAAAAAATATTTTTGATCTCAATATGTCAAAGATAGTCCACCATTGAATGACTGATTTTTATATGTTACAAAAAGTCTACTATGGAAAGGTTGATCCCAGTATGACAAATATTCTACCATGGAAAGATCGTGTAAGAATTAAATCCTTGTAATAACTAGCTGAAAGTCGATAGCTAAATTCCAAAGCATGAACCCAACATTTAATTAAGCAGATATGCGATAGTACAATGGCCAATTTTGCAAATGAAGCATTGATCGGCCACATGAGAGTTAGCATCTACTCAGTGGAAGTTCTTGGTAAGGAATGGACATCAACAAACAGAAATGATGGAGACTTCCAATTCACAGCAGAAAAATAACAAAAAAATGGCAACATTTCACAAGGAAACAAGAATCTCAATGGTCAATTCCCAAAAAAAAGGGAAAAAAACAACAGATTAAATGTCTAACAAGTACTTCACTTATGGTTCATCTCATGAACTAAGAACCAGTATAGGGATCTTCATTCATTGATAAATCTATGAGTATTAAATAGGCAAGCTCAAAAGCAATTTCGTTAATCTTAGGCAGTGGCAAAAGTCTTACCTGAGATGCTGATGACGTCCATGTCCTCAAAGTCATTCTGCAGGTAGTCCAAGACATTTTGCACACCTTTGGAGACCATGTTCATCCCCATTGCATCTCCTGTGCTGCAACTGAATCTCATATAGAGGTTCCTCCCAGCGAGGGCACAGTGGATTCCTTGTAACCTGCCAAATCTGCTAGACCTGCAGAAAATTTTACGTTTTAAGTAGATGTGATTTCCATATACTACAAAAACATGCGTCAGTCAAAAACAACACTGTTAAGGAAGTCCAATAACAACTCTGACCATAGTAGGGAAATGGTGAATTTTTTCCCTTGAAACATGACTATCAAAAACATTGAATGCAGAAAAATAACAAAAGCATGGAACATAAAAGAATTGCAACATAAAAAAAGCAAGCGGTTAACAAACACCATGATATGATTGTAACAGAACAAAAGCTCCGCATTTTTTCCCCCACAAGGACTAAAATCCACAACAAGCTCATCGTCGGACTGGCAAAAATAACAATCAGCCGTATTAAACAGAACCGAAATGAACACTTGCAAGTAGGAAAATGGTGAATTTTTTTCCTTGAAACATGACTTTCAAAAACAATGAATGCAGAAAGATAACACAAGCATGGAACAGAAAAGAGTTGCAACACCAAAAATGCAAGAGGTTAACAAACACCATGATATGATTGTTACAGAACAAAAGCTCCTCTTCTTTTTTGTCCCCCCACAAGGACTAAAATCTACAACAAGCGCATCGCCAGACTGGCAAAATAACAATCAACCATATTAAACAGAACCAAAATGAACACTTCCAAGGCCAAAGCTAACTTTTCCATGGATTAGGGAGCTGCAAAAGTAACCGCAAAGCAATATTTAACTTTAACCAAATCAATCTACGGCCATTTGATATAAACGAGATCCTAATGCAGAACAATATTCTCGATACCTTAATCACCATTTCCCCCTCTACAACTAAAACTAGAAAGCGACTAAGAACGAGTACCTGTTGAACACCAAGGCGATGGTCTCGAAGTTGTTGGGATCCTCCAAAAAGGCCTTGAGATCAGCGGCCCTCCTTGCCGTCGGGAGTCTCACGGCAGGTGCCCTAGTCATGCCGTCCCTCAGCACCACGCTCGTGGCCCCTCCGGATTCTGCGATTGCCTTGCAACCCCTGTTGGTGCTGGCCACCAGGCATCCCTCTGTGGTCGCCATCGGCACATGGTATTCCCTTCCGTCAAGTACCAAAGGCCCCGCGATCCCCACCGGCAGTTGAACATACCCCACCGGGAGCTCGCAGCACTGTCCCAAGATCGACGCGTAGTCCAAACCATCGAGCGGCAACCCCTCCAAAGTCCTTCCGGTGATCCTCCTGAGGGCCTCCCGACGGATCCCCGCGGCCCTCCTGCAATCGCCGAGCCTGGACTCGAGGACATAAGATGGGATCTTCCCGGAGACCACGGAGGAGACAATATCCTCGTCATCGGCAGTGATCTCCAGGTTCCTCTGAGAGGAGATGGTTCCATCCGTGGAGAGAAGTGGGCAAATGGGGGCAGGAGAGGGGGCAGAATCGGGGGCGGCGCCGGAGAGGAGGAAGTCGTCCTCCTCGTCGTGGGAGGAGACGATGGACTGGACGAAGGCGATGCCAAAGAAGCTGAGGAGGTAGATGAGGGAGGCGATGAGGCCGACGATGGCGAGGATCTCGGAGAGGCCGAGGAGGTGGAGCGGGGTGGAGCATCGGACCTTCTCGCGCCAACGGCGCATGAGGAAAACGAGAGAGCCGACGAAGAGGGCGGAGAAGAGGAGGTTGGTGTGCCGGATCGGGAGGGGGAGGGCGTCCGACGCCTGGAGCCGGGGGACGGCGGGGGACGAGGAGGGGGGGAGACAGGCTCCTCCGTCGCGAAAGGGGGAGGGGGCGACGACAGAGGGGGGCCGCGATGGTAGCCTCCGGCGGACTTCCATTCTCTCCGGCGACGATGAGTGGGGAGGAGGCGCGAGAGGAGAGGAGAGGAGAGAAGAGCACTGCACCTCGCTCGCACCTTGGAGGAGGAGAAACAATAGCTGGAGCGGGCTGATGCGATCACCAAACGGCAAAGTTGTCTCTTACCATTATTACAATTTTAAATTAAATTAGAAAAAATTAAAAATAATTATAAAAAAAGAAAAAAGTATGTAGCACGAAATTTGGCAAACACGTTGCCTTCACAGTTAAACAGAAGCTTGACGGTCAAAGGTCATTTATCTATTTATTTGAAGACTTCAAATTTATATTATGGATAATCAGAACTTGGAATAAACAACGATCCGAACAAGTCTCGATTTATTGTGTCGTTGGTTGAACCCATAAATCAATTAGTCCAACCGTGGATTTAATATATTTTACATGTATTATATTAAAAAAAAATTATTATAAGAATAATTTTATTAAGCATGACAAAGAGTAATTTCTGATAATCCACATTATTATTACACCATATATGATATTATTGAAAAATAAAAATACATGACAGGCAAATGGTTGGAACGATATATTTCTGTCGACATCCCAAAGATTATAATTCATGTGTGGTTTACCACACATCCCATTGTAACTGTTATATTGCAAGGTTTATTATTGTTTTTTCCTCTTTCAATTTACAAATTATGAGATTTTGAAGAACAACTAACTTTTGTGTGAAAAATAAATAAATACAGATTTTTAGGCCATCTCAAAAATCGCTGGTGCAAAAACATTCTATATTATTGAGAATTGTAGTAAGCTATCACATCAAAAGTATGAAGACAATTGTCAGAATGAAAACACCAAATTTGACAACGTGAAAAATGATATTTTGATTGGCTAAAAGGATTTCGGACAACATTATTGGATTCAAACGCATTTTCAGCATTGAATTGACTCGAATTTCATTGTTATCTAAATAGATAAATATTACTTTCAAAGTCTTTTATGTAAGACAAAGCTCTCTTTTATCGATCTTGCACGTATTTTTTTGATCCATCCATATCAATCATCAGCATGTTTTAGCTTTTTAAAAAGTCATGCATTCCATTACAGTTATTGGTGGACAATTAAATCAGATCTTTATATATATATATATATATGGTAAAGGACTGACTCACATGCATTGGGCCAATCCATCCATTTTATTATGCCACATAGATAGCGATATTCTTACGAGTGACACTCAATTCAAACTTGAACACAGGGCATGCATTAAAAGCGACACTCCAACCATACAAGGTTGCCAATTTGCCCTCTTCTTCTTCTTCTTCTTCTTTCTTAGAGTTAGGTTTTGTCCACTAGTGTCACCTTTGGTTGCTTGTTGAGACTCAGATGAGAGAGATTGACGGGTTTGCAAGGTAAAAACCAGGAATTTTTTCTCAAACATCATTTTCTTGAGATAGGTTTTCAGATTGGTCATTTTGTTGATGTAATTAATCTCAAGATACTATTTTCTTAAATTATAGAATACCTTTCCGACCTGAGTAGATGAGATAATTAACTTATTCTTATCTCCACAGCTTAACACTAATAAGGAGATTGATTGAAGAAGTTGTTAAAGAATTAAACGAAGAAGATAGAAAGATAGAAATCGTAGAAGAAACTATGAAATGTATGAGATGTAATTGCATAGTTCATTTAGATAGTAAGCTCTTGATAGCTATTTATACACATTCATGGAGGATTTTTCTCAACTGCTTATAGATTTCCTCAACTACCTTGAGGAAATCTTATCTGCTTATCATGCCCCTGCCTCCGCAAGATTGAGCTTCCATCAAGGATGTCGATCTTGGACCGATAAGATGAAAATAATTTGTGGGCGAGAGGCTTTGTTAGTAAGTCTGCTAGTTGATCAGCTATATGTACATGAGAAACACGGAGTTGATGTCTGACAACTTGATCTCGCACGAAGTGGAAGTCGATGGTAATGTGTTTCATACGGGAATGAAACACTGGATTGACACATAAGTAGGTAGCTCCAATATTATCACAATATACTATAGGAATAACCATAGAGTTGACATTGAGTTCCTTAAGCAGATTTGTGACCCAATTGAGTTCAGCAGTGATGGTGGCGATGGCACGGTATTTAGCTTCAGTTGTAGATCGTGCAACCGTCTTTTGTTTTTTAGAACTCCAACTGATTGGAGTAGCTCCAAGAAAGACAATGTACCCTAATGTAGATGTTCTATCATCAAAGTTCCCTGCCCAATCAGCATCAGCAAAGGTATGGAGATGGAGTGAAGTATTTTTGCGAAGAAAAATGTCATGATTAAGAGTCCCTTTAAGATACCGCAAAATTCGTTTGACCGTAGACCGATGCGTAATAGATGGTCGATGCATGAATTGCGATAATTTATTGACGGCAAATGAGATATCTAGCCGGGTGAGAGCTAAGTACTATAAGGAGCCAAGGACTTGTCGATATTGAGTCGAATCTGTAGTAAGACTTCCATCACATAATTTAAGTGATTCACTGGTAGAGAGAGGAGTTGTAACTTCTTTCGCATCCTGCATATTTGTCTTTAATAATAAATCTTGAATATACTTTCTTTATGATAGGAAGAGACATGAAGATGTAAATGTTGCTTCCACTCCCAAAAAGTAGCTTAAAGTTCTTAGATCTTTGAGGGAGAATCGATCGACCAAGTGCTTTCAAAATGCTTGAGTCTTCAAAGGATCATTTCCTATGACAATAATATCATCCACATATACTAAAAGATATATTATGCTTCCATTGTGTTGGCAAATGAATAATGAGGTATCAAACTTGGAATAGATGAAGCTAATTGAAGTAAAAAACGAGCCAAGCTCAGTATACCAAGCCCTTGGAGCTTGACGAAGTCCATAAATAGCTTTTTGAAGTTTGCAGACATGCCTCGGATACTAAGGATGAACAAAACCAGGAGATTGCTGCATAAAGACATCTTCAGTAAGTGACCCCTGTAAAAAAGAATTGTTAACATCCAATTATCGTATGTGCCAGCCCTTTGAGATGGCCAAACTCAGGATAAGACGAATTGTTGTGAGTTTAACAATGGGACTAAATGTCTCTGTGAAGTCGACACCAGGTCGTTGATGAAACCCTTTGACGACTAGACATGCTTTATATATGGCAACGAATCCGTCTGGGTTCCGCTTAATTTGAAAGACCCATTTACACCCGATAATATTTTATGTGTGATGAAAGGGTACTAAAGTCCATGTAGAATTATGGAGGAGAGCATCATATTAGTCACATATGGCTTTACGTTAGTGAGAAGATTTTTGAGCTTGAGTGATTATAGTAGGTTCACTGGCCTTAGTAGAGGAACTTGTTATAGCATGCAAGTCAAGGACTTGACGTGGTTTGAAAATACCGCTTTTGGAGCGTGTTGTCATTGGATGTCTAGATGGAAGTGGTAGATTGTGTTGGTGGTATAGCCGAGGGTGAGTCACTATCATGGACCGGGCCAACCGTCAGCACGACAATGTCACTAGATCTAGGAGAAGGTAAAGCTAGTGGCAATGTTGCCGAGGGTATTACTTCATTAATAGGGAAAACTTGTGAGGAAGGGAGTGGAGAAATAAAGGGAGTGAGAAGCTGTTGAACTAGAGTAATAGTAGTATGTGGATCTTGAGGGTAAGGACTGTATGGTGTCATTGGAGGTTCGTGTAATAAGATCGGAGGGATATTCTAGTGATGTATGTTTATCGGAGTAGCCTGCATAGTATGATTGTTTTGAAAAGGAAAGATAGACTCCTTAAAAATAACATGACGTGATATAAAGACTTTTTTAGTTTGAGGTTCATAGCAATGAAAAGCATTATGTTCAAGAGAGTATCCTATAAAAGTACAAGGCTTAGGTCGTGGTATTAACTTATGTGAGGCATAGAGACAGAGCCATGGATAACACAAACAGTAAAAAACTTTGAGTTTATGAAGATTTGGAAACTTGTGGAATAATTTTTCAAATGGTAACTGGTATTGTAAAACTGGAGTGAGTATACGATTAATGAGATAAACTGCAGTTTGAAAATCTACTGACAAAAAAGATGGTGGCATGGATGCTTGATGTAGAAGGGAGAGACCAATTTCAACGATATGCTAATGTTTGCGTTCGGCAGAGCAAACCAATTGGGGAGTATGTGGGGGTGACTTGAGGTGTTGTATACTACAAGCGGAGAGATAGGATGTGAGGGCTTGATATTCGCCTCCGTCATGAGAGTAAACTGTTTTAATGGAAGATTGAAAAAAATTCTCGATCAACTTCCGAAAGTTGGTAAATACTATGGAAACATTAGACTTATGGTGGAGAGGATATAACCATGTATACTTAGTACAATAGTCTAAAAAATGACATAAAAATGAAACTTGTCAAAAGAAGGAATTGGGGCAGGGCCCCACACGTCGGTATAAATGATTTCAAATGGTTTAGAGCAAGAAATGGAGGTTGTCCTAAAAGACAGTTTATGACTTTTATTGCAAAGACAAGCATCGCAATGATTGACAATGCTATTGATTTTTAAGGTAGGAAGAGAATAACGAAAAAGTAATTTTTGCTGGATAAAAAGGGAGGGATGACCAAGACAACAATACCATATATCAACCGGAGCTGCGACTGAAGAGTGAGCAGTAGGTAGGGTAATTTGTGAAGTGGATGGCCACTCATAAATGTTGTCTTTGATCTGGCCCTGGACTAAAGATGCCCCCGTGCTCAAATCCTTGATAAGAAAAAAATTAGGAAAGAATTCAATGGAGGTATTATTTTGTTTACAGAATTGAAAAACGAAAATGAGGTTTCTTTTAATGTGAGGTGCACACAAAGCATCATCATCGAGTGTAAAAGTTGTGATAAGTGAACTAAGCGTTGAGGAACCAGAATGAGTAATAGGAATTCTTTTACCGTCACCGATGATGATATCTTCATTTCCATCATAGTTATTGAGAATGGACAAGTTTTGAAGATCAGAGGTGATGTTATGAGAGGCGCCCGAGTCCACAATCCATTTAGGTTGGGTAGGAGTTGGAGTAGCCATGAAATTCGCCTAAGGCCACTATGATGGAGCAGGGAGTCTGGGGCGAGACCGATAAACTTTCGCGGAGTGTCCGACTTTATCACATAGTTGGCAAACGACTCGTTGGTGGCTTGTGAAGTCAGGATGCGACGGCTGAGGATTATAAAAGTTACCACCTTGATATGGATAAGGGGGGTTTGGTCTGAGCCCCATAGGGCTAGGAGGCAGCTTAGCCAGTTCATTGTTGACGTGCTTATTGTATTGGTTGCTCTTCCTCTTGGATTTTTGATTGACCTGAGCTGTAATAGGTGGTCCGGGCAACTATCATCACGCTTCAAGTACGTCTC